TACCCTCTATTGCAAATATTAGTAGTTAAGCATCTAACTACTCAATTGCATGTATAATTCAGGTAGGTGCATGTATAATTCAGGGAGTTTGCTATCCAAGAGACTTTCTAATTTTTGTTCCCTGTGGTGTTCATGAGCACAAAGTTATGGACTTTTTTTTTATTTTATTTTCGGTGGTGAAAAATGTGCTGCAAGGAAACATCGTTGGGATGAAGCCCATCTGCAATATCTGCTCCCCAGTGTGTCAGGGTACAAATGTAGATGTTAATGTAGTGCTCTGTTTTCAAACCTTGGAGCCTGATTCACTACTGCATTACACCAATATGAAATCAATCACATTGTACTGATACACAACTGGATTAACCCAGAGGTGAATAAAGCTTATTGTTTGCAACTTCCACTTGCTGAAGCACAGACTATCCATTAAGAAGAAAATATCCTTACCTCTATGAGGTAATTTGGAAATTTTAATGGCTTAAAAGAAAGCTAGATCTGTTTGTTGGCATTTCTAGATCTGTTTGTTTCTACAGTATAAAATTCCCAGAATATTATGAACAATATATACAAGTCCAAGCTAGGTCATAATTTAGCATAAAATAAAACAAGACATTTAATCCAGGGTAAAAAAAAAAAATGAGAACAGTAGAACTATCAAACTATGTGGGCAATTTCCTTGTGCTCAAATTGCATTTTCTCCCTTCAGTGTTATATGGAAAAGGGTCTTGCCCTCTAGATTAGAGACTTTTGCATTAGAGGAAACTAGGTTATGTCTTCCACTGTCAGAGATAAAAATTATGAGCTGGAGTGCACTTTAGCCAGTCACTCTGAAAAATGTTAGCCCAAGGGGGTAATAATTAGAACTGGTTTTGTCAGGTGACTGCATTTTAAGCAGTGATGTGTCTAATAATTTAGATGAGGGGGTTGATATAAACATAAACATTTTTTTCAGTCAGCGCTGTTGCCAGGGTTTTTTTCTTTCAGGATTGGTTGTTTGGTTGGTTGGTTTTTTTCCCAAAAGTAAGCACTTTTCAGAAATTATCTACTAAAATGTAATACTGTTAAGCATTATGGTGACCTGATAATATTATTTCCTTCAGAAACCAATAACTCAGCGCACTCTGTGGATTTCATATACATAGTGATAAACTAGCCCATTATTTCTTATAGTCTCAAGCACATACACATAGAAAATGCAGCAAATAAACAGCACATTGTGATTTTTCCCCTAAAAATGTAAAATACATCCAACTTTACATAATGGTCTTAACTTACACTAAGAAAATAAGCTCTGAGCAGGAGAAGATATCAGAATTAGTGTCTTGATGATAAAATAGTTCTGCTTCTTTTTCGAGAATGATGCTTCTGTTCATTGGCCCTGGGTGAAGGGAAAAGCAGGACCAAATTTTGGGGGTAGGTGATTGTTCTGGTGCCAAAACAGAGTCTAAAATAATGAATGAGTACTGCAATCAGATGTTGAGATGGGAATGGACAGTTCCACTTGGGACAGGTGTGTCCACCTGCACAGAGCAACACTCGGGGCTGAATGCTCAGCATACTCATCATGATATCCCCAATGCATTTCAGGAAGGACTAGAAATAGCTTCATTTCTTTTGTTAAGCACTTACATAAAGACAAAAGTGCTTTAATTGATGACAAGAGCTTTGTTCTTGTTTTAATAAAATCTCTCAGCCTTTGATTACCAAACTTATTCCTGAATAATTCATTTATTTTCCTTTTTTCCATCTTGTGGGTATTTAAGAAGTTGTGCTGACAGGAAGACAGCTCCTAGCCTGGAACTGCTCTCTGCTAGAGCTAGCAGAGAGGATTAATGATATCGCTGGCTCTGTGCCAGGTTCTAAATACCGCGCATCAGTTCTAAAAGTGGGATCAACTAGAAGTCAGGGCTGAAGAAAACAAATCTAAAACCGTAGCCCATAGGCTTTTAGCACTTGACAAATTCCAGTGAGCAGGGCCCATGGGAGCTTTACAGCTTCCTCTCACTGACAGGATGGTCAGGTTCCCTGGCTCAACATGAAAACATTTATTAAATCCTTTTCTCACTCTCCCATCTCCAAAAAACCCTAAATAGTAAACAATAATTCCCATATCGCATGGAGGAGGTGTGAAGTATAGACTGGGTGTCTATATTTGAGTGTTCCTATTTGCCTTTTGCACCTGCATACGCAGGACTCAGCTCATTCTAAATTATGTGCCTGGGCCAAATCCTTTTTGCATTTCTTCTGGGAGCAGTCCCATCAGTTTCAACAGGTTTCTTGTTTGCTTAAAGTCAACAGGATTTGCATTTATGCTATTTCTATAGGCAGGCAAAGATTTTTTGTATTACATTTGATATAGACAATTATGTTCCCACTGTACATATGAAAACAGACTGAATCTATGCCTAAATACACATATACCATATATCTTTTTATTAGTAAAAATGAGCAAGAACATTCTGGAATTTGTGCAAACTGTTATTTAGTTTCATATTTTGTTTCTAAAACATTTTTAAACACATTGACAGCATCTAACTCCTAAACCTGTATCCACTTAGGTTTATAAATTTTCTTCCTCATATGAAGACAGAGAGACAATTCAAATATGAATCCCTTTCCTTCCTTTCTTCCTTTCTTTTCCTTTAAGTAAGTGCTGTAATAAACCCACCAAGGTTAGTATTTGTCCTTGCACCTTCAATGAATCCATGGTAAGAATGTTTTTTATTGCTCTGCCATAGCTAAAATTGCTTAGTTCATGCTATCTATAAGACACATCATTTTTCTAAAGAAAACTTCCAAGTTTCATCAGAAAAAAGCATATCACACCCAATGCAAAGTGAATGACTATTCAAATACAGGGAACATATCCAAAAATACCTTTAGAGAAATAGCTTCACATAAATATTTTGTTTAGAAAAATATATATAAATTACCAGCTTAGTTCTCCTGAAAGCTTAAGTATTTTGTTCTGTTAATCCCAAGCAATTTTAATTACTTTAATAAATGTACATAAATGCATATAGTTGATGAAATAGTCTTTATTTGGACGAAGGGATTTTAAAGGGAGATGTCCATTTTAGGTAATTGTTGAATGTTGACTTTTAGGAATGGATACACATGGGATACACTGGGAAACAGTATTTGAGAAAAATGGGAAATTTTACCCATTGTTTCAGACCAAGGTATGTATGTCTATGGCATGCGGATAGAAATAATTCCTTTTGGTGTTTACTTGTAACTTTACGTTACTCCATTCTTTGGCCCTGAGTTACAACCTAAAATTAGCAAACAGATGCACTGGACACTCACAACAGCCTTGATTCACCGGTATGTTCAATAATAAGCTCATTCTTGAAATAAATTAGTTTTGTTTCTGAAAAATTTAGTAGGATTTCTAGCCTGCTGGTAAGGGCTTCTGAAGCTTGCCCCACAAATCCATGCCACTTTCTCTTTGGAGGTGGAATTCAAGGAAGGAGCTACAGCTTTTTCCTAAAGGGTTTTCCATCCCACGACTTCTGCCCTTTTACAGCCTATATTCCTGGCCCAGGATCATCTGCTCTGGTCCAGAGGATGTGCCTAATATGAGCAAGTTTACAAAATGTATATTAATGCTTTAGTGCTTTATTTAGAAAGTGGTGTTATTTTGTTATGACTAGCTGTTATTCATAACTGGATCTTCTAAGCATAGTTAAAGCACTCTTTGCAAAACACATTGTAGTTAAGACTATTGCTACTGGATATATGGAGTGAAATGTTTCATGGTTTATATGCAGTGAGAGCCAAGGCATGGACAAATATTTGTGTAGCTACAGGTATCAACCCACTTAGGTTGTTGTTGGCTGGGAACTGGAAGCAGTTCCCTCTATGTTAGCGAGAAGTTTAGGATAGATGAATTGATCCTGATTCTCTACAGCAGCCCCCAAGTTAACTCACCTTTTCGAGGAGTTTGAGCTGACAACACTAACTCCATTCTAAAGCAAATCAACAGCATTCACCCATATCTGTACTCTAGGGGAGGCCATCTTTCGGTGACGGACTACTAACTTGTAGATTGGGAATCTCCAACTGCATTGTAAATGGCTTACGCTAAAATTATCACTGTCAATCTTCAAAAGGCAACACAGAGGTCCTCCTTGTCTCACAGTTATTTTCTCTGCGTACACTGTTGATTAATGATAATGAGTTGTCTTGATCACCAAACTTACCAAAAACTCCCTCATTTTCCTATCCTTGGTCACTTCTTCATACCCAACACTATTACTGATACCAGCATCTTTGTAGTTCACTGATTCCTCCCAGACGACTCTAGTCTACTAATAGGAGTCTACAGAGAATACATATTCAAAATAGAACTGAATGAGGTACTTGAGTATCTTATTTGCTGATCACAGCTTAAACATTGGGGTCTCATGGTGGGCTCCTCTTGCTGGTTGAGAACTTCTGTCCTACAGAGCTTCCCTGTGGCACTTAAGTGAGTATAGAAGCTTTGAGAAACAGCTCTCCTCAATAAGCAAAGGCTAATTTCGGGATAGTCAACCTTTTCAGGAGATTGTCCTTCCCTTTCATAGAACTTGACTATTATAGTACATTTGTCCTTTTTTTCACCCTTCTTTTTACATGCACTTGGAATGGAATAAAAGTTCTTATTTGTCCAGTTATCATACAAACCTGCTGTTTTCTGATGTACACAACTCACGCAAATTGAAAGAGACACTGTTGAACATCACTTTAAGGATGTTACATTCCAGATTTAAGCTTATAAGCTTCCCAGTGTGGGAAAAAAAAATCAATATACTAGCTTTAGTAAAACACAATTCATTGTTTTTAAGTTACCCTCAGGAGAAGGAAAAGAGTAAAAGAAGAAAGCAGATTAAAAGAGTAAAGAAGGAGAGAAGAAAGAAGTAGAGAGGAAAAGAAAAACGGTTACCGTACAAGGTCTGATGGTTCACACTGTTCAAGTCGCAGGAGAGAGGAGAGAGAAGAGGGAGAGAGAGGGAGCTCACATGGAGTCTCGCGTATTTTGGAGCTCAGTTTTCCCTCCCAGGCAGGATACCTCGGCAGTGCTTTCCAGGTCAGAGGGAGTTGTGCTGTAGCAGTCACAGGCTGCAGGGGTGTGCTGTGGGCGGGCTGCCAGGCAGGTTTGCCTTGACCGACAGTCTGGCGGCAGGGCCTGCAGCTCTGCCTGTGCTCTGTGTGGGCAGCAGGCCTTGCCCTCCAGCTCTGCCCTGTGCCCCAAGCACAGGCCCTGTGTGCAGGTTTTGCCATGTTCCTGCAGGCCCAGCCCTTTCCCACAGGCACACACACACACTCACGGTGAGGTGGTTCCGACCCATATCAATAATTCAGTGAGATTCAGATCCAGGATCTCACAAAGGATTCTTAGGCTTTTACTAACTCAAGGTATGCGCGAAGTCTTTATATGAATTTTCTCATAGCAGAGTTCAGATTCTCTTTGAGGGAAAAAAAATAGCAAATAAATAGAAGCTCAGTTGTTCACAATTAGTCCTATCCTAGGAACCAGTGTGTGCCCAATTAAAAACATTAGCTAAAGAACAAAGTTGCCTTTTCAAGGTTTTTATGAGAGTGAGTTAAAAACCCATGCTACCATCATGAGAAATGCAGTCATTTGTACATCAGTGTTTTAGGACCTACTGGGGTGAGAGATGCTGTAATTGAGAAGACACTGAAAAATGCAGCAAATGTGGGATTTTCAAAGAAAATAGAAAACAGAAATGATTTTCTTGCCAATGTGAAGAGACTGTCATGGTTTGTGCCTGCTGATGTATCAACAGAAGGTGAGGCAAGAACAAAATCGATATTAGGATGCAAAAACACCCTTCTAGTGACTGTGATGAACTTTGTCCTCAATTATAACATAGAAAATAAAAGTGAAGGCTGCCTAGAAAAAAAGAATTAAGATTTAAACCATCCCAGAAAATGAGCTACCGCAGAAAAATATTCAAATAATATTTTTCACATATTGCACTGCTCTGAACAATTCCTGAATTTCTCACTTCATAGACTAGACCCTAGCAAAAAAAAAAAAAAAAATCTATTTTCTGACTTTAAGTAGCAATTCAACAATCAGAAGAAATTCTATATCTTGAACAAATTTCTGAAAAGCACAACTAAAACATGATAGTGATCTTCTGGCTCTTCTCACACTGTCTGTCAACTCAGCAGTTGGTTTTGTGGGTTTAGTTTCAGGTTTCATCAAAGCTACAAAGAATCTTAGACTGTGAACTGATGTTTTTGTTACACACAATGGGTTGATGTGGATTTCATGGTGGTTTGTGGTAGCATGGTTTGGGACAGATTTTTTTTAAAGCCTTTTCAGGAGAAAGGTGTGACCTTGCTTGAACTTGCTTTAACCTTGTAGATAGTTTGATACCTGTGTCACAGAAGCTACACTACATGTCTTTCTATGTCCTGGCCTGCCCTAATGTTGACAATTTAGATTTTCATGAACTCATTTACTGGGAAGAGATTTCCAAAGAATTTGAAAAGGACAAAGGAGGGGGGGAAGGAAAAAAAAAAGAAAATGTCACTTCATTAAGCTTTCAGTCTGATTTGGGTGGTGTTGTCTTCATCTCAAACACCTCATGTTTACCAATCCGGACATATGTGTAAAATTCTACACATAATATAGTAAATAAATCAGGATTGACCCCTTTCACACAATTTGTAGCCTCTTTACATCTGTTGTTTGTGAACTTAGATCCCCATGACCTCTGACATCGCCATTAATTAAAATGCAATTAAACATTATTAAAAAGTCTGAAGGTCATGTCCAAAATCTTTGGTTCTTATTTTACATTTAGTACTTGGCCCTTTTTAGTTTTTTGTATAAGACCAATCAACTACTTCAATAATCTTCTACGTTATTCTTATATCCATCGCCAACATGAAAAAAAAAAAAGTCCCGCTCTTAATCCTTTACACTTAAGACCAAGTTGCAGCACTCTGAGAAGGATAAATGTCTCCCTGCCTTCCTATGAGGTCCAAATGCAAAAAATGTTCCAAAATGTTCAGGTTACAAATCTTATTATTTCCAGCTCTTGGTATTTCCCTCACTGCACTGGCCCTTTAGCTGAGGGGAAATTACATTTATAAGAATGAGCAGCGCTCGGCTGGAGATGTGCACTGTTGCTCGCATTCATGGAATTTAAACATGGTTTTGTACAAAGGATGTTTTGCAAAGTGGAGACTGCATGATCCAGGCTTCTGACTCTTCACTCAGCTGCATCCATGTTTAAACACTCATGCAGCACTTTGCTCCAGTAGTGAATTTTGCAGGACTAGGAAAGGACAAGGATCTGGTCAAAACTGTTCACAGAGAAAGTCGTGGACTGGAAAGCTTTGCATGATCAACTAAGCAAGCGAGAGGGAATGTCACTCTGTTTTCCTTACAATCTTTACACACCTTTAATGTTAGAGGAGTGTGCTCTAACCCTACTGCAGTGTTTGTTGAGAACCAAAGTGCATCAGAGAATGTCCCTACGTCTCTCCTAGATTTTTCATTTGCTCCTTGTTTGTGGGGGATTTTTTAATTAAATAAGATTCACTTAGATGGGGAACCTCATGTTTTTTCTTTTGTGTCTGACAGTAGGTTAATAATGGGAGCTTTGTACTAATTTTTAATTTCTCTTTTGCAATGTTAGTAAGGTGAATGAATAAAGAGAAACACTTGCTCAGCCTGTGATGATACTGTGGAGCTTCAGTGCATAATACGTCTCAGACCAAGCATCTCGCAAGACTAATGAAGAACGAGCTGGGCACAGGCAAACAAGACTTCTATAATCCAAATACATATAATCCAAATATATTTGTTGAATGAATATACTGTCTCTGACTCAAATGTTTGTACAAATAACCACTCTCAGAAAGCACGAAGAATCACTAATAGGTAATGGACTCGTTCACTGTGTCTAGTGGCACATCTTTTTCTTATGCTAAAGTATCTATGAGATAGAGAACCACAGCTTTGATTTAGGATGTCAATACTCATGTTCCCTTTTTATTTGGTGCTGCCTAGAATGATCTAAAATAACAAAAATTGGCATAGGCATTTTACGTTTGGTCTTTCTCTATTCAGGTGTCTTCATCTCAGCCAGAACATAAAAATAACAAAAACAACTTTCCTTTAAAAGGACGTTAGTAATTTTATCTATATACAGTTACTTTTCAAATTGTGTTAATCTGGTGGATGTCTATATATTTTAAGTGTTCTGCTCTTTACTTGAAAACTATTCATAATTTGTATTGTGTTCTCACAACTACACATAAGCTCTGCACTGTGTTGATGAACATAGTTTATGTCCAGTTCTTTTCCCACCTTTCTGTTATGATATCATTTTTTTCAGGTGGCTGTTTCATATAAATTTGACTCAATAGTATTTTTCTTGGCTATGCAAGAGGTGGGCATCCAAGAATCAGTGCCTTATTTCAGGACCTTAAATGATATTTTAGATGATACTGAAATAAAATCCCCAACGAAAAACATTGTATTAGAGTATAGGTACTAATTTTGGGAACATGGAGGGTGTAATCCAGCTATTCCTTAAGGCTCAAGGCTTCTACAGCAGTGATATGAAAAAGACAATCCTAACAGCAAAGCAGATATTCTTTAAAAAGTAATTTCAGAATAGCTAGGAACAAAGCCAAAAAATTCCTCAGAATCAATAGGATCTTTCATTTAATATTTAAAGGCATGGTTTGGTTCTGGATAAACTACTTATTCAACTTTCCCAGCCATAAAAAACCATGATTCTAAATCAGATGAAGGGCAATTTTGGCCAGGCATCTAATGGATTTATTTAAACAGCACAGCAAAACAGAAGGGTGGGTTCATGGTCGGGGGTGTCTTTCGTGGTGGGTTTTTTTTTTTTTAAATTGTGTTAATAAAATCTTAAAAAACCTTTTATCCCATAAAAGGCTATGTTTTCATACATGCTGTTTATGCTTTCAAAATGGACAGTATACAAGTCCTGATACCTCATCATATAGGAAGCATTTAAAACATTTAAGGCTCCCTCTGAGATGAGCTTTCAAGAGCAAGAAGTTTTGCCAACCCTGTTTGAATTTTTCTTGAAGAAAGTGTTCTTTATTAATGCCTTCCTCTTTCCTGGAGTGGGTAAAAATGGCCTTCCTATTCTCATGGGTAAAATGAACATTCCTGCAAAGCTTTTGAAGATATGAAAAAAAATGGTACTTCTTCTGAAGAAAAAAATTGAGCAAGTCTGAAATGTTTAGAGCTTCTGATTAAACCTTCAGTGGTATGTTTCTCTTACACAAAGCATTTGTCAAAACTAGCATGTCTGCTAGAGTATTATTTATGCCACTGGACTGAAACTGACTGAATAATTTGTGCTGTTTATTGTTCAGTAAAGATTTAAAAAAAAAAAAGTAGAGTAAGTGTGGAAAAAATGGGAGATAGACAAAAATATATATTGAGGAATGTTGATTGTCTTAAGGAAAAAGATCTGTTTTCAATGTTTAAAGTTAATAGAGTGAATCTGAAGGGGAAAGCACACCTTGCCATATGGATAATTTTAATAGGTGAACATTGTCAGCATTTTCAATGAAACCAATTGGCTAAGAAAAGCTGCTAAATAGGTGTGAAATAAGGTGAAATTACTAGGGAAACTCTTTTAAGGTACTTTGCTTTGTTCATTGCAGTGCCTTGCAGCAAAAAAATAAAAAAAGGGAAAAATTAATTTACATACTGGAAATGGAAAGGCAGCTAGGTTGATTTAAATTTGCTAAGAAAGTCTTGGAATCTATTTCCTCTTTCTCGGAATAAGTACATAATGTGTATATACATCTGAAAAATATATATTATGTATATAATACCTTCAACTATTTTACTCCCTATGTGTGAATCACAGGTTGTTATAAGTTACCGCTATGTGTATTAGCATAAAACACATAACTTGAATTGTCAGTGTATAAAATTTTCAGAATGTATTCTCCTCTTACTCTAAATTTTACACAACTTGTATGACTTATTTTATCTGTTGAAACACTGGATTTATGTCAACACTTTTTTTTCCTTTTTTAACACAAAAATTTAATACTCTGAGCCTATTGCAGAGGCAGACTTGCAGACCAAAGGATGGATGGAAGAGTATGCATAAAGCAGGAGGTGGAGAGAAAAAGCACGTGACACAGTTCAGCTGAAA